TTTTCACCACATGCATTTAGGGCTCAAATCCTTGTATCTAAATGGGAAATATGCCTGAGCTTTAAGACATCAAATCATTTCTGTGTTTAACAGAGTCACAAATCCTTTCTGCTCTGCAGCCTTTTTTCATAGATTTAAAGAAAGTGGTACAGAAGTGAAAGAAAAATGGATCCTGTCATATTTGCCAAACAGTTCTACCACACATTTCAAAAAGTAAACAGCAGTGAGCATTGCTTATACTGCAGTGCCACTCAGGCCATTTCAGGTAGCCCAGAAATACCAACCACAGATGAAAATGTAAAAAATATCAAATGCCTCATCCCAGGAGAGACCTGCCCTTGATAATGAGTATCACAGCCTCTTCGCTTGGTGTGTGCTGGAGCTGCCTGTTTGTGTTAAGTGAGATGTTCAGAGCTTGGATGAGATTTTATGATACTTGTAGCTGTGATAAAGTGATTAAGATCTAAGGTTTTGCTGAATTTATTACAACTGATGTAGATAGCTGGAAGGCCAGACATATTCTTACAACCTGAATGGAATTAGTTATGCCCAATGAAAACTCTTAGGGCTGACATTGCTGCACCCAGTGGTGTCAGTGCGTGTATTTTGTGCAGGGACCATATAGCTAAGCTCATTGTTGAAAGATCACACACACACAAAAACACCTCCCACCTGCGTTTAGGAGGCTGTTCCTCTGGCTGGGGATCTGAACCTGCATCAAATAGGATATTCAGCTTTTGAATCTGTTTGTGCAGGTTCCACAGTGTCCATTTTAATGCACAGTCTTTGTGTGCCTAAAGGTGTGTGTGGCATTTTTCCCTTGGTTCTGTCCTTTTGCAGGCTGACAGGATTTGCTTAAAAAGGTCTGTTTAATATTTTGGTTTGCCCTCAGCATTCATTACAAGGACCCACATCTCTTCTAATGCACTGAGGGTAGGAGGATTAATTTCCTCCTCAGTTTTTCTGTCTGGCCTTTTACTCCTGTATCTGAGGTTTTTCACCAAAGTGAATAAATTAATTTTCACAATGCTCCTGTAAAATGGGAGCCAACTGTGCATTTTCTAAAGATGAGGAACAGAGGCACAGAGGACTTTAGGACCAAATCTGGAGTTTAGAAGGCCTCTTTGTCTCTATGTAGCATATATGTATATAGTGTTATAGGTATTCAAAGCACACCCCCCATTAACTCCTACAGTGTTTATCAGCTGCACTTGGTGTCTCTGTGCCCATCAAATCAGCTCAAGTGATCCCTCTCCCTGGAGCTAGTGGATTAACTGCTAGCAGCTGGAGGCTGTCTTTCTCAGTATTGTGCTGGACTAGAAAGGACAGGGAGCTTGCAGATGGGTTCCACGTTTATTTGCAGATGGTGGTGAAGGAAGGTTATGGTATCCTGAGTACCTTTTCAGGCCTTTGGCCTCTGCTCTGGCAGCCACAAATGCTTCTGTTCTTCCCCCAGCTGTGACCACTTTAGCCTGATCCCATCTATTCTGTTGTTTCAAACCTTGCCAGACAGTTGTTTCCTGTTGTTTTCTCAAGCTAGGCAGTGTCTGCTCCTCAGTCTCTCACCCTAGGTCTATTTTCTTTGCAATTCCTACGTAGTTGCACTCCTTCGAACCTCCTCTCCCTTCTCTAGTTTCCTTACCTAGCTAGATCCGACTCAGCATCTGCTCTGCCTGTTCTATCAGCCCATTCCTGTTTGCTCCCCACTGTTCTCAGCCAGTACCTTCACTGGTTCATAACTCCAGTTTCTTTGCTTTCCAAATTAGCTTGCTCACCCTTTCTTTTCACCCATTTCCTCTTTTCTCTCTCTTTCTGCTTTTGCTTTGCATTCTTTCCAGAGTTTACAGGCTCCCAGGTTCTGTTTCCTTTCCTAAACAGCCTCACTTTCCCACATCCAGGTTTCCTCTTTCCAGTGCAGCCTGCCATCCCATTTTCCATTTCATTCAGTAGCTCTTTGACTTTCCTCTTTTTTTTTTTTTTTAGTGTATCACAAGAATGCATGGGGACTTTTATAACACACACACACGCACGCACACACATAATGACTTCAGTTAGCTGCTTCTTCTCAGCTCCTGCAATGTCAGATGTAGAAATAGGCCCAACATAACCCATTGCCTGAGCCCCACTGGAGCGAGAGCTGATCCCACTCTATACTGCATGATGCCTGGTGTCTGGAATCTGTGAGTGGTTTAGTTACTAGCATCCACCTTCTGCATCTGTATGTACTGTTGTTTTTCAAAGACTTATGAATTGACCAAATTGACTCATGAGTAGAAGCCTCCAGGTTTGTTTAACATTTCTAGTAGTAACACTAGAAGGCATGAGATCAGGCTTCACTGTGTTGCTTGGCAAGACATCATGAAGAAAACTCATTTTCACCTCACTTTTATGTGATTTACAAAATAGTAAGCATAAATATTGCTTTCCTTATACCATCAGTTTGAATGCCTATGATGGATAGCATTAATTACTACTGAAAGGGGTACAGTAGATGTGTTTTCATTTCATATATAGACTAAGGGAGTTGGGAAGGATTTCTGAAGAGAAGTGATGTCTTATATAAAAAAAAGGTTATTAAATTTTGACCATGCCAAGAAAACACAAATGGCCTGTGGCACTGAACACGTAAGTGCCTTTAAGTTGCAGACAAGCAAGCAGGAAGGCAGATAGACCACAGTAAAGAATTCTGCTTGTCAGCAGATGGGCAAATGATGGACAAAACAAGTTGTAGCCACAAGAGAAGTGGAAACTACGAATAAGCAACACAGTGAAACCATGTTCCCTGTTCTTGTGTTCTCACTAGGTACATAGAAGAAAGTCCATCTCTGAGGCGTATGACCATGATGAGGGAAAAGGGAAGGCGCCAGGCCATCAGAGGCCCAGCATTCATGTTCAACAACAGGGGCACGAGCCTGACGGCCGAGGAGGAGCGTTTCCTCGACGCGGCAGAGTACGGGAACATACCCGTGGTGCGCAAAATGCTGGAGGAGTCAAAAACACTGAATGTCAACTGTGTTGACTACATGGGCCAAAACGCCTTGCAGCTTGCTGTGGGGAATGAACATTTGGAAGTGACAGAACTTCTGTTAAAAAAAGATAACTTGGCACGGATTGGAGATGCCCTGCTGCTTGCAATCAGCAAGGGTTACATTAGGATAGTGGAAGCAATTCTGAATCATCCTGGGTTTTCGGTAAATAAGCGACTGACTCTGAGCCCTTGTGAGCAGGAGCTCCAGGATGATGATTTTTATTCCTATGACGAGGACGGTACTCGCTTTTCTCCAGACATCACTCCCATCATTTTAGCTGCCCACTGCCAAAAATACGAAGTTGTGCACATGCTATTGATGAAAGGAGCAAGGATAGAGAGACCTCATGATTATTTCTGCAAATGTAATGACTGTACAGAGAAGCAAAAACATGATTCTTTCAGTCACTCTAGGTCAAGAATAAATGCGTACAAAGGACTGGCTAGTCCGGCTTATCTGTCCCTCTCCAGTGAAGATCCAGTACTCACTGCTCTAGAACTCAGCAATGAACTTGCCAAGTTGGCCAACATTGAAAAAGAATTCAAGGTAATTGTGGGGTTTTTTTGTTTCTCTGTCTTTGTTTTTGTTTTAAAGTTGCTGCTACTTCACGTTGTCCTTATATACTTAAATTGTTTCCTGTGTCTTTACTTTTTCAATTACAAATACTTTCATGTTATTTATTGTCTCTTCTATTCTTCATTTTGAGCTTTCAATACATAAGCCTTCAAAAAGAATTTTTAATGAAATAGGTTTTGCACCTACTGTGTGTGGAGAAAATTGGAAAAAGGGACAGTGTGTGTTCTGACAACCTTGCGGCAGGTGGGAAACGATTTTGGTTGCTGTAGCAGGCAGAGATTGGGTTTAGTTACAAATGCTGAGTAATGTAAGTGCAGAAAGCAGAAATGTTATGCAGCATTGACCTTCTTCCCTCTTTTTAATTTGTACTCATTTTGACTGATAGCTCCAAATTGCTGAGAATACTGAAAAAGGATTTTTTTTGATGGACCTTTCAGAAATGTCACTTGCTCAAACCCTGCTGTTAGGCTGATTACAGATATAGGTCCTGTTATTTGTTGTTGAGCTGTATCTGGCTTTGTCACCCACTCTTTTATCTATTTCAGCTTCTCCATCAAACAATTAATGACTTAGTTAACTGTTGCCCAGTGATTCTCTTTTGGTCATGATTTTGCAGTTCTCTTGGGTACCTTGAAGAGCACAGTAACAGTCACCTTCCCTCCTGTCTGTCTTCCTTCTCCCTCAACCAAACCCCACAAAAAATCAAACCCCAGTAGAATGCATGTAAGGAGAAAAGCTTGGCTTGGGGAATGACAGATTGTTCTCAATGAGTAGTGATATTAACAGCATTGGCTCTAGTTTTAACAACAAATTTAATGGGGTTCTGCAGGGTCAGTGTTGGGTACCACTTGTTTGTTTAGTGTCTTCAAAAGTGATCTGGGAGGCACAAAAGATGCATTAACCTTTGGAAACAGCAGCAAGCATTGTTAACCCTGTGGAGTGCTCAGAAGCAATATGCAGCAACCTGGAGAAATACAGGCAGAAATTAGTCAAGTGAACTTTACCAGAGGAGGAAGAAACCATTTTAGACTCCTGAGAAAGAATAGCTCCAGATATAGCTGAGTGAGTTAAAATACAATTTAAAAGCAAAGCTTCAGTGGTGAGAAGGATTCATGTATTATAACATGCACTAATAAAGTGTAGAAGTGAGCTTAAACCTTTCCTCTCCTCCCTTTGCTGAAGGAACCCTCTCATACCATGCTGTGTATTGTGCAGTCGGGCAAATTAATTGCATACTTCCTCAATGTATTTATTCAGGGGTACAGGAAAAATGTTGGTGTTTTCTTTTTCCTCTGCTGAAAAGGTGCTATACTGGGAAAGCTGTTTGAATTGAAGAATTAGAGGGTTTTATCATACATACAGAGCCTGTTGGGTGTGCTTAACACAATGAATTAGTTATGCGCCTCATTTAGATGCATAACTAGAGGGTTAGATATCTGATGCGCTTAGCTTAGTCCTGTTTATCGTCAATTCCTTTTCAGCTAGGACAGCACACTGAGAGCCACAGGATCTCCAGAATCCTATGCCCAAGACAGATTCCTGGGTTTTCTGAATAACACTTTGATGGCTGTGGATACCAACAATTTTTTTACCTTTTTTTTTCTCCCGTAGTTTCTTAGAGAGAACTTTTCTTCTGGTTTGGCACCTCAAAAACTCCCATCCATCCCTTCCTCTGTGCTACTGCATACAAATTTTGTTACTGCACCTGTGCTCAGAAACACTGGTGGTCTTAGAGACCCATTTTGTGTTATGCAACTCCCTAGGAACCCAAAATACAATCCCTTCCACCAAAAGCCAAATTAAGAGAAGTTGCACCGTGTTTTTGTTAGGTGAGGATGTAGATTATTAGAACTGCATAGAAAAATTCCAGGAAAAATAGAAATTCATGGGAGGCTTTTGTGTGATAGGTACTAATACCATGAATGCAAGTTTCAGCAGAAGAAAAATAGCTTGAAATTTTGGAGGAGAGAAAGTGAAGTTTTTTGATTGGCCTTGTCATTTCAAACCAGAACTTAGAAAAATCATTTCGGTTTTTACAATGTTAAATTGTCACAGAATACAATATTCTGGTTTACAATTCTTATTCCTTTTTTTTTCTCCTCTCAACTGTTTAGCCTCTATTCCCTGATATTTTGAGATGCCTAAAATCCCAAGCAATCCACTGTGTTCACAGATTTCATTGTTTTTGGATAGCACTTACATGGCTGCTAACCTTGTCAGGTGTATAAGATAATTCAGTTTTGGCACCTGCAGTAGAAAACATTCCTGGTTTCTCGCTAACATGGAAATTCCGGCTTCTCATCAACATCAAAACATTCCAGTGAAATAATTATTCTCCTCACTGACATCACATCTATCTCTTCATTTTCCTTCCAATTCTTATGCGTCTTGGGGTGATTTTTCTGTACCTACCAAACCTGGTAGGAGAGTCAGCTGTTTTCCTGGAGTCCAATTTGTAACTGCCTGTTCAGTGCTTTCTTTCTTTGTCATCTGAATGTGTTTAGCTAACAATTTGTGTGCTTTGTCATGTCCCAGAAGAAAGAGCTCCTAGTGCAACATTCGTACTCCCTACGAGGCACAATGACTGATAGACTTCTGCTGCACTCTCCTCTAGGATCACTGCTGGAAATGCTCGAGTATTCCAGTCAAATTCAGTCTGCAGCACAACACTGAGCAGAGTTATTTCAGGGTAAAAGCATTTCAGCTTCCACGAAGAAATGGACAAATCTATTTAAAGGGATGTTTGATGATATTCATGATTTACTCTCAGTCTCTGTGGTGCATTTCCTGTTCATGCTCACACAGCACTTGTACAGAAAATGCTGTTCTAGGTGGTTTTCCCACAGAAAGAATATAGGTTGAACCTGTTTAAAAGCACCTGAGGGGCAAGTTTGTTAGTAAATGCTTGTTAAATTGAACCTTACATCTTATATGCAAAGTCCAGTCTGCCTCTATCACTTATGATTTACACTAACAGATTCTGAAGTTCATGTGCAAACCGGAGTTTGCATAAGTGTACTAGAAATGTGGGAAGGTGGCTTAGGACCTTTATGCATGGCAGTCAGTTCCCTGTGAATATTAAAAATATCTACTTATTAATTACACTGATTTTAGTTGAATTGGGTTTTTTTTATTTTCCCTTTAAATGTAAGGATAAAGGATTTAAAGGAACCAGTTGAACCCTCCTGTTTCCTGGAAGATGGAATACATGTAGCAAAAAATAAGTACTAAAAATGAGTAAAAATAGATTGAGGAAACTGGAGCCCTAAAGACCATTTCACTCTACTCCTGTCATCTTTAGGTTTCCGTACTTCTTTGTGAAATCCTTGTTCTAAGCTGCTGTTGGTCCTTCTGCTCTTCTTCATCTGTTTTATTGTAGTTTCTCTTTGACACTTCCACTCCTCCTTCTTTGCATCCACTTGTCTTCTTTCCTTGTTCTATTCAGTCACTTCTCTGGAATTTCTTTTTCCTTGACTCCCTTCTTAAGTGCTCACCTAGTTTTCCACTAGATAATCAGAAAGAAAGCAGCATTGTTGATCAAGTTCTGTGTCTAAGATGCAAAACCAGAATTCTGCTTCACTTTGAGCTTCTTCACCAATATTGGTATTTCTTAGGGCTTTTATTACCAATGTGCCTGATCAGAAAGGGTTTTTCATTTTTATCAAATCTGCTGGTTTGATTCATTTCCTTGGTTGAAAAGAAGAAAACCTGCTCAAGGTAGAGAAAGTTATGGAGTGCTGTTCTATTAGCATCTGTCTTTGAGTGATGAGAGATCTCTGAGGTGCATTGCTTCCTACCTGACAGACTGGCTAGGGAAGCTCAGTCTGGAACTGTATCTTGTCTTATTGTAAATAAGTGTTTATGACAATAGTTGGAGAATTATGTTTCCCAGTCCCAGCAGGACCATAAAATACTCTGGAATACAAATATTCCCAATTTTGATGTTTTCTTGTTGTTCTATTTTTAGCAGACCCTGGTCACTGTGGCTGCTGTGGGTTATTAAAGTTAATTGATAAAAACCCTTCTCCCTGAGAACTTTCAAAATGTTACTGCACAGGGAGGGGAGAATTTCTAGCAGTCAGAACAAGCTGACAGAACTTTACTTTGGAGTCACCATAGGAAAAAGGAGAACATGGTAGCTAAGAAGCCACATGATAGTTTCAGTATACCAGCTTTTAACTAAATACTGTCCTGTGTGAGCAAGCTCAGTTCTCCCAGTTGAAATTGCTCTAGCAACGATCAAAAAGATCATAGTCCTGCTTTATACAGGATAAATCCCTGTTCCCAGTTTTGCTGAAAGCTCCCACTGAACCCAACAGAAGATGTGGACGTGCATCTAAAAGCAGAATCTGTCACTGATCCAAGCCAATTTACATAGTGTTATCTCAGCTGAACTAACAAAGAGTGTTCAAGCTTCATCTACGTTCAGGTCCAGCTTTAAAAAGGACAGGGCCCAGGTCCATAATCATTAGTGCAATTATGTGCTTGATTTGCATATACAGTTATATGTTCAAACTGACTATATACATGATCTCAAAATGGCCATTTACTGTGTAATACTCCATATAAATCTATGATTGCATATAATGTGTGTGAGGTAGTTGTGTGAGCTGTGGTGCTTACAGCAGTGTGGCTCCTGGAACAGAGAACAGATCTCTGCATTTTGTTTGACTACATTGCTCATAAATTTTCTTGGGAATAGCTAAAAATATCATGAGTTAAATCACCTGAAGTTTTTAATTCATGTGTTTCCTTTGCACACAGATTGATACGTTCTTTGTAAAAATTCTAGATGAATTAACAATGTAGTCTTTAAGGTGTTGAGTGAGGACAGAACATGCAGAGTTGAGCAGGCTGAGATCCAACCATGGATGTGTTGCCAGAGTGCTCCAAAACTGCTCCTGAGACACAGCTCTGCAATTCCAGTTGTCATCAGTTGTCCCTTTTGTTCCAGTGACAGCTACAGTATC